GCACGTGGTTTTGATCAGCAGCCATTTAAGGACAAAGATCATGGACGAGGAGGCGAAGACCTGCCTGCTGGGTGTCATTGTGCAAGGCTTAGCAGGGTTAAATTTGACTAGTGACGAGACTTGGTGCCTCCACTTTGGCGGGTAGTTCTTCATGTGCTGAGGCATCCATCTACCTGCTTGCCAAGTACTCGCTGGAAGCCGCGGCCTTACATAGTGCAGGACACAGGCGCTGGCGCTTGTGGCACATGGTCTTGAAACCGTTTGAGGAGGATGGGAGCTGGGAGTCGGCCGTCTATTTGATGAGATCCATGAGTGGCTACGTGCGACTTGGATAAGGCATAAGCGAGACGCATTGTCAGTCTGTGTCAATGTCGGGTTGCGAAGGTCTAGCTTGCATCCGGACAAGTTTGACCAAATCACGGCAGATGGCCAGCGCTGGCCAGTAACTGCCTTGCTCCCAGAGGGGAACCTCTGATATCCACTGAAAGGCAAGTGAAGCAACAACGCGGCATAGCATGTAGTGGCACTGTGCAACGTTCGCTCATGTGGAAGCCCATCGTCCCAATGGCCGAGACGTTTCCGAATCCTCAACTGGAGCAGTGTCTCCAAGATCGCCAGCCTGTGCCGCATGTGTCTGGTAAGGTCGCCCAACTGGATTCGATGCGGCGACACCTAGCAAGTGTGTCGCGCCACAGGAGGGTGAGTGCCAGTGAAAGACTGCATGGCTGCCAAGACCACGGACGTGTGCCTGTGCCAGGACTTCCACAAAGTGGAAAAACGGAGCGGGCGAGCGCCAGATCCCTGGAGAGGGCACCCGCAGTCGGGCTTGTTCAAATTGTTTGGTCATCTGAGGCTTCGACGGCAATGCGTTTGGATTCCAGGGCTCTGACCATTTGGAGGATGGCATGTCGCTTCAAGACTCTATGAAGATTTTTGTGTACGACGTGGAGGAGAGGGCAATGAGACTGCCTGAAGCAAACTCCAAGGAAGCACAATGGTCCATGGTGCATCAGACAGGAGTACCCCGAGCTACAAAAGCTTGCCCGTGGAGCTTCCTTCTGCCGCAACTTGGCCTGTTTTGCTGCCATGTTTGCATTTTTGGACTGGCCCTTGGACTTCAGCATAAGGTGAGAATCAATGGGGCTTTGAGGTCAGCTTGCACGAGTGGTTCCTCACCTGTCCCTGCCGCACTGATGACCCCCAGGAGGCTTTGGATAATATCGCAATATGACCTTTGACATCATCCAAACTCGCTGCAGGCTGACTTCTTTTTTGTTCCCCACTACACTGCTTGCCATCTGAATGTGGAGACATTCACCGAGGCAGTCTTCCTTGCAGCCTGGTAGCTAGCAGTAGATCATGTGCCCTCAGGCACAGTCTGACGAGCTCTTCGTGAGCTACGGAGCTGCAAGATTTGTTGCTAAGCCTTGGCATGTGTAAGCAAAACGCCCGATTTGAAATGGCATGCCAAGACTCATATGGTGCGCCAGTCACAAGGGGATCGATCACTTGTGCGGACTTGATAGGGCATGCTCTTTTCGATGGCCCACGCAAAGGCTTGGTTCAACGACTGGCACACTTCAAGCGATCACAGGGCAGAGATCATGTCTTCGTTTGGGGCGGTGGCTTTGGCCTCTCATCTGCATGAGACATTCAGTGACACTAGTAAGGCCTTTTCTTCTTGCAGCTAGTGCTAAGGAGCTGATGGGCCCTTCCGTTCATGGCGCGATTATGTTGAGAATTCCATCTTCCTCATGACAGACCCCTGGCCTCGGAGACCAATCACAAGTGATCCAGCGTACCCTTGGCGTTAGAGACGTAGCCAAGGAGTCGGAGCTCTGGAACCCCTACCACGGCATAAAGACTCCATCTTTCTCACCTTGGAAGGAGTGGGGATGAACAGCAATTCATTCTTGGAATTGTCATATCTGTAGCACAGTGCTGTTCACTGCGGTGACCTGACAGTGTGTCAGTTCTTCGTAGTGACTGCAAAGCTCGCGAGGACATTCTGATCCCAGGCAGAATCTCTGTAGGGGAGGTGGTGCAGCTCTCGAAACTCGCACCAGACCCGTCCTCGCGGCAGTTTCTTGCAGACTTTGTCAGGTTCCTGGGAATTGCTTCTCTTTCGCTCAAGCCAACGTCCAGAAATTCAATGTAAAAGCTCAGGTCGGATGGAATCGACCGCTTCACCAAGCACAAGGGGGCTTGAACTCAAGTTCCTCATTTGATTTTGGAGATCTGTCCCAGATGTGAATACCAACGGGGCAACCGTGCTGGCGAAATTTGCTTTTCGATTTTTTCCAAAATGGCAATTACCTATACACCTAGGCTCTCCACGGGAGCTTCTCCTTGAGATGGCTCATGAGCAGCCAAGCTGCAAAGTGTCATGCGACCACAACCACTAGCAAGGTATGATTGAACAATGGCACTTCAGCACAGTTGCTCTTGGAGATAGCAGAGGGGCATACAAGAGGTGACCCTTGTGTCTGAAAGGCCCGATCTGCACATCCGGCAAGATGTGCCTTACCGAGAGGCACTGCGACATCACCTCCTTGTAAGCACCCTTTGTCAGCCTGATCAGTGCAGAGATGCTGTTGTTATGTATGGTGGTTTTCGGAGCTAGGGGAGCCCAGTATAGACCCCAAAGTACTATACTGTTTGTTGTGAATTTTGGGACCCTACTCTAATCCCCACAGCCTCAGTTTCCATTTCATTTTCCATTTTCCTGTCCACTTGATTCTCGTTCATTAGGTGTAACATATCCCTATATACCCCCCAACTGTTGGGAAACCCCAAATCAACCCCTAAATAGTCCCCATATATCGCCTATAACCCACCCTTTGAAGGGACGCGCTAATTTTGGGAAACTGTTTTTGTTAAACCCTGAAAAGCAGTTTCCATTTTCTTTTCCATTATCCCTATATATCCCTATACTAACCCTGGTTTTTTCAAACCTTAATCCCTATGAACAACTACCTAACCCCAGATTCCACATCATTTCCATGTTCTTTTCCATGTGATCCTACCGTTATTAGGGGTAATATATCCCTTTATACCCCTATATGTAAAGCATATAACCCTAAAATGCCCCTAGACTCTAACTTGGCCCTATATCAACCCTACGTAGTCCCTAGATATCCCCGATATTTCCCCTATAACCCCCTTTAAAGACACCTCCTAGTTCTGGGAAACCCTGAACCTTAAACAGTAGGCATTAAAAGTCCGAGGGGTTGTAAAAAGAAAAAAAGGAGAAGTAATCGTCAAGGGCCCCCCCCAACTTTTGGAAGACCCCAAACCCTAAACCCTACATAACCCCCAGTTTTCGGAAACCTTTGTATATCCCTATATATCCCTGTATATCCCCCGTAAACTCTTTGAGTGGACACCCATATTAGTTTGCAGCCGGTGAAGGCAACTCGGGGAGCCCTATCCTCTCGGTTCTGCTTCGTCCCAAGGGGAAAATCGGCATGGTCATCCAGGCACTGTGGCTGGGGTATTCTGTATAAGATTCCAGGAGGGGATCATATAGGGACGATGGGGAATATGGGGACTTGTCAGAAATTATGAGCGGGTTGTTGATTGCAGAAGGGCAGCAGGGGACGATGAAGACTGTCATACTTTGCAGGCCAAACTGGAACATGCTGGAGGTTGTTCGTCTAAGACCATCAGGCAGCTGAACTCTGTCAGGTTCTTTCGCGTGCTTTTTTCGGATTGCATCCCCGTTCTGCTGAACGACTTCTACGTGGCATGTTTGGATGTAGTCAGCCTTGGCACTTCCGAACTCTTCATGTCTAAGCCAAGGAACCACCGTATGGGGAGCTATTCGACGCTTCAGGCTTCACCGTCAGGTGGCCCATGCGACATGTTGGTCAGGAGCTTGGGGTCTAGAGTCGAGATGGTCAAATAAGAGCATTAGAGCCCGGGGCTTCCAGTGAAGTGCCAAGTCGAGGCCAGGATCTTCTTGAAGCTTTGCGATCGGTGCCGGTTGGAGCGCTGGAGAAGATGCGGGAGCCCAAAAAGGTGGCAGCAAGTGTAGGAATGATGGCAGAAGAGAGCGCAAGTAGGAAGAATGGAAAGTAGATTCAAAAGGGCGTTGAGGTAGAACGTCGGAAGAACTTCTTGGCCCAGAGGTGTGATTGAAATCCCATCCCAGTGAAGCACCTCAGTTATGACAACCGCTTCGGGTCAATGTCCATTATTACTTCATTTGTCTGTCCAGTTTTAAAAACTTCCATTTTAGCCACCCCTCCTTTCTGATGTCCTTTTTGGCAGTCTTTCCAAGACGGTGGGGCTTCGTGGCTGGGGGACTTTGTGAAAAGCTGGTTGAACTCACTGTCATCAATTGAAGTGCGTGGGAAGGCTTAGCAGCATTGGATTTGGAGCACACGTGGTCGCGTACCTACTCCGGCGGCGCTCGCAAGTTTCACTCTGAGGCTTGAGCTGGCGCACCGCCACCGATGTTGGTGAGGAGCCCGGTGCCCTTCTGCGTCCTGAGCATTTGCCTAGTGGGTTCTGATTCCCGCTCGTTCCCTTCTGTGATCTTGTGTGCTCTGCAACTAAGGTATGTTTGGACACCTGCCGTCATGGACCACGACAATGTGGACTGGTGGGTTGTCTTGCTTTAGCTGCTAGCTTGTACCTAGCAGCGGAAGAAAGCGACTGCCTGCAAGGACATGCAAAAGGAGAAGCTGACAAAGCCGTGTCCAAGGTGGAGAATGGAAAACGCCTTCATGGGAGTCATGAGGCGAGGCATCTTCATGCAAGGCCTTAGCAGTGTGAGAAGAAGTGGCGTGAAGACTGGTCATGGAAATGGAGGCTGCTGCGCCGTCGGCGGCGGGCTAGCCACACACCTTGCTTGGGGAAGGCCTTCCACGTGCCAGACAAGGTGCAAAATTGTTGATACAGACATGGCAGCACTTGCGTAATTGCCTTGACCGTGTCTCCACGCCGGGCAGGCGGGAGCGCCGGTGCAAATCGAGGTTGCCCAACCATGAAGGCCAAGGTCTCTGTTAGTGCTCTTTGCGCTGGTTGTGATTCTGCGCCTGAGCGGTACCCAAGACCATGTAAAAGAGTGATGCCGCCAACTTTGAGACACAACTGCTGCTTCGAGCTTTGGCTCCCACGAGAACCTCCCGGTTCCTCATGAATATGCGAACGGCCACGGGCAAGAGCGGGATTGTGGATGATGGTCGCATCCATCCACCTCCAATGCGTTGGCTGACGATGACCGTGCACTTCTCTGGATTCCCAGCGCTCTAAGAGGCCGGACAGCGGAGAGGAAATGCGCCAACGGAGGGAGTCTTTTTTGAGGAGGCCGGAGGACGTGAAAGTACTGCACCGTATGCGAAAAGCAGTGCTGCCCTTTGCCTGTGGGCGGGAGATGCTTTTGCATGCCCCTGAAAGAAGGGTGAGTAGTATGTCAAGTTCGTCGCCGAGGCTTGGCATCTGGGGCCGAGTCCATATCGAAAGCCTGCACATCTGCACTGCTTCTCAATCCCAGGCTGCACGAGGCTGGAACCGGGTCATGAGCGTGACACAGAAGCAGCAACACAAAATCTTTTAGTCTCTCAATCCTGAGAAGAATCTTATTGTTGCCGCTGCCGGTGTCAGCGTCACGTTGCTTTTATGCTGATAGTTGCTGTTCTTGCTAGTGCAATTTTCAGTACTCTTGTGACTTTGATTATGAGTATGCGAACCTGTGCTTCTACAATTTTGGGAGTTGCTGTGATGACCTGAGATGATAAGGTTGGTGATGGCTTTGCGTATTGAGAAGTCGTGCCTACCACTAGGCTCCTGCTGACCAGGCTATGCTTGTCCGTGGCCAGGCACAGCTGCGCGAGCACCTCAGTGCTGTTCAACTGTGAGCTTCTCCAAACGAAAAAGCCGCGCGGACCCTTAAAGACATTTTGAGTAGTTCCTTTGTTCATTTGGGGTCCCTAGGTGCCAGAACCTGTATATCCACCTTGAGATGCTTCTCATATCGCCCTTAAAGGCAACAGTGGCCCCAACATCGACAGGAGCCCACAACAATGACAACCATCTCAGCATGATGGCTTTAATCAGACTGACAACGGAGCAATCTATCCTAATTCCTTCTTTATATATATATATAGATCCAAGCATACGCAGAGATAGATAAGTATGTATCTACATAATTATACATGTTCACGTATGGTGGCTGGAACTAAGAGCTGGGCTTCTTCGCGGCCTGCGAGCTCGACTGCAGTGACGCCCTCAAAGCAATTCCAGACAGCGTCCGGGACTGAGCTGACTGAGGCTGAGTGTCCCAATAAAATCAAATGGAGACTGGAATGGAAACTACCATATACGGGATTTACATAGTTAGATTGAATCATGGGAAGCATATAGGGTCAAATATCCTTATAGGTTGTATGTTGGGGCTTGATAAGGGGGCTATATGGGTATTTGACCCCCCAAAATCAAGGATCAAACGGACAAGAACATGGAACAAGAAGCTGAAACTGGGATTGTATAGTGGTTTGTTCAGTTCGAACATCCGCCCTCAAACCATATTGTTGGAGTGCAAGACAGGCGGGAGTCTTCTATGACAAATACTATAATCCTTACTCTAGGGACCCGCAAAATGGTAACCCTAGTTTTGAGAAACCCCCAGGTTAATGATATTGCCAACGTAGAGCTGAAAAGGTGTTTCGTCATCCTTAGCTTGAAAGGTTTGCGACAGATAATTTGTTCGCAAGACAGCCATTTCCAGAAGCCTTACGCCATCTGAAGCCATGCCCGCACTTTTGCTTTGAGATTTGTTCGGCGACGAATTCTAATTCAGACAGCGGCAGGGAAGGAGGGGAGTCAAACCTGCTTTATCAAAGAATGAGTCGAGGGATGCATCGGACGAGGCCACGGCCTGGGCCACGCGGGGACGGGCGCGGCTGATGCTCGACCAGGGTATAACAGCATGGTGCATGCACTGTTGTCTATCACTTCTGAAAGAAGACATTCCTAGAAGGAAGCATATAGGCCTTTCTGGAAGGGATATGAAGATGAGCCCTGACAGCAAATCTCGAGATTCTGTCCCATCCGGCTTTTTTGTGCCTGGAGCGCCCGAACGAAAGCTAAGGAGACAGAAATGCTTCCGGGAAGCCGCAGAAGATTGCCGCAGGTCTCTTGCCCTGGATGCTTCGGCCCCAGACGTACTTTCACAAATCTGAACTGAACCTCTGCCGAGGGATGGGTTTAAGGATCCGCTCATTGCACATGCAATATCTGAGAAAGGCGCAGTGCCGGCTGGCCATGTCCACCTTGGGTGCGGCGCTGCTCCATTTGGGCCGCCAACCTAGAAGCTACAAGTAGCACCTGGCAGCCAATGTGCCTTCAGAAAGCTGAGTCTTCAATCTCAGGTGACCACCAAGGAGCCCTGCAGTATTGTGATCAAGCTGTTCTTTTCATGCTGGGGCCTCAGAGTATGCTGTCTTGCATGCATATGTTGAGGCACCACTGGCGCCACTCCTTCCAGCCTGGAAAAGATGCGTAAGGGGAAGTGGATAGGAGTTACTCGAAAACTTACGTATGAGAATCAGTTTACGAGAAAGGAAGGCCGACCCATCTCACTTAGCGACTGAAGTAGGTTTGAGGTGTGACTGGGTACTTGTGGGAAGTTGCGCAAAGCACGACCCCTTGCGTCAGCAAGGCTGGATCCAAAGGGCGAAGCAGAGGCCACCTTCGGCATGAAGATTCAATTCTTATATTGCCCTGGCTGAGGAGCAGCCACCTCCAGTAAAAACTTGCACATGTCGAGAGTAGACTCTGCACTACCCTTTGCCGTCTGCTCCAGGCCAAGGGCCAGAAGAAGTCCAAAAAAAAGCCTGGCATGGCACGCGGCAAGGAGTCGTGGTAGCTTGTGGAACTCACCATCGCGACGCAGCTGCTTCAGCCAGTTCCCGTTCAAACGCATACTGTGAGGACAAGAAGAAGTTCAAGGTTGCCAGCTCAGACATGATGGCTCTGATGCTTGTGTTGGAGAAATGCGCCGCATGTATGCAGCCATTCGAATGAGGAGAAAAAGAGCGTCAGCAAGTCGCAAGCTCAGCTGGGACTTAAGCTGGTTGCGCCTTAGTGCCGCATGCTTGAGTGTAGTCTCTGGATTGTTCGTTCCGTGCGGAAACCTCTGAGAGTCGTTTGGTTTGTTTGCAGCCTTAGGCACGTCTCCGCAGCCTCCTTATCATCAGCTGCAGAGCACATGGCTTACTTGCAGTTCAGGTCTTGCCTTCCAAAATTTGGAGCTCAGAGGTAGTATAGATTAGATTTGTTATTGGTACAGAGTTGTTGTGAAAGAAGAAGCCCCAACAGATGACATCTCTCTGTAGCAACCTTAGCAGGCAGGCATTGCGCTGAATTTGCAGAGGCCGGAAGTTGACACGGCTCCTGAAGAGGACCGAGCGTCATCTGGCTATCTTTCCCGTGTCCCAAAGCTTTAGAGCCTGCTATCAGTCCACCTATGCGTGATTGTGGTGCTGCTTTAGCTTCTGAGCTCTCCTCACTATTCTTCCTATGGCCCTGCTCGCGTTCTCCGTCCCCGACCCCGCTTGGGACCCTCCACATCATGACATTTTGTGTGGGCATTGTCATCCCTTCCAGTCAACATAGCGCTGTGTGCTGCAACACCTTCCCCTCTCAAGGTGCTAATCTTAATCTGATTCCAGGCCAAGATTATCCCATAGTCCCGGCATCCGCGCAGCACGGCTTCTTGTAACGAGTTCTCAGGCGCCGAATTCAAGGCGCATCTGACTAGGTTCCTGGGAATCGGCGGCATGGTAGAATTTCAGCTGTTCAACTGGAGTCGCAGGATGTTTTATAGGGTCGCCCAAAGCATAATCCAAAGAAAACGTAGCTGGATTGGGCATGGCAAGGGCGGGCAAAAGCATAGGGCAGGTTGCTCCTTTGGGCAATGTGCAGAGATGGCATTAAACCACTTTCTTCGCTGACTCGTAAGCAGATCCATGACCAGGAGACCGTGCAGAAGGCTGCCGCTGAAGAGTTGGAGCCAGCGAGTTTGGGTGAGCCAGGACTACCGCATGCGGATGACACACCTGAGATTTGGCTTTGAATCAGCAATGACATGAAGAACTCGTGTTAGGGTTAGTGGGCAGGACAAGATGGCATCACAGAACTGGAGGATGGGCCTGGCGACCCAGACGCACAAGTTGATGTTGACGGGAAGCCTGATGCAGAAGAAGGCAGCGGTCTGCAAGCAAAGCTCTGTGCCATTGCTGGCCCGTTTCTGATCATGCAGCCGAATTCTGTTTTGAGCACTCTGCTTGAGCGGATTTTCTGATGTAAATAGTCTTGTGCCCTCTTCTGATCTGTTGTTGCACGCGGTTGACTGAGCTGTGTGTCTGCAGGCCCCGATGAAAGTTCTCCGGGCGCCCCCGAAGGTTCTCCTGGCGACGAAAATTCCAATGCCAAGGCCCTGACCAGCCCAGATGAGTTTTTGTGGCTGGATGATGCCAGAGCTTTCTCTTAGCTGCGACATGAGCATCACGCAGGAAGCTGGAGAGCGAGATATGGATAGATCAGAGATTGAGGTGGCATCTTGCAAGGGTTGTCTGCTCTCGTGAGATGGAGATTGATTCCGCGAGGAATTGGCAGACTTGTACACCATGCGTGCCCAAGCCAAAGTAGCACTGGGAGATCTAGCCTGTGCCTCGACAATAAGGGGATGGCCAGCCAGGTTGCTAGGAAATGTGCACCCTGAGGAGGGAACTATTGAGGACTGCTCATGTGCCTTGAAGCTGAATGACCTCGCCTCAGCCACTTAGTTGTTGCATGGAAGAGCTATCAGATGCGCATGTTTCTGAACATCCTAGGAACGAGTACCCTTCTGCACAGACCTGAGAGGCAGACAGGATTTGTTGCTTCGAGGCAAGATTGGGAAGCAACTAGTCAAAACACTTTACACTGAGGCTGGGCTGCCCGAGCGGAGGCCAAGCGCTTGCAGCTTGTGGCTCAGGGAGATGTCAGATGTACAGCTGAGCGGTGGCATTGCATTGAATCTCTGTTCTTATGTGCCCATGTGGAGCATTAAGCGGTGCAGGGTCTCGAGTTCGAACCAGATGGTTCTCAAGGGGTGGAGGATGGGGGAGGGTCTCTCACAACACCGGGAATGACGAGATGCTATACTGTAGCGTTCAGAAGCATGATTTCATCAGGTCGCGTAAAGGATCCACAGTGAGATGTTTCTTGAAAGTATGCACTTATACGATGTCCTGCAGAGAAAGTAAGCAGGAGGAGTTGCCCGTTCTGCCCCCAGGGACAAGCTGGAGGAGGCTGTCGCAGATGCCAGCGAGGCGCCTGGGACTTCAACATGCCACGGCAATGTTGCTTGCCGTAGCGTGCGTTGCGTACGGGGCGGGCTTGGGCACCTATGGCAGGCATTGCGCCTGGACCCTTTGAATGTGCTTCGTCCTTGGGCTTTCGTATGGGTAGTTGCCTTGGGTAGTGATGCATGGCCCAGGCAAGCATATATCACGCGAGCGAAGGCAAAGCTCAAGACTGGTCAGATGCAATTCGCCCACAGCCAAGTTGCTGTAAAAGGCCGAACCGTTTCTGTATGAACTCCTACGTGAGGTTGTCACTGACTGCAGCGAAGCCCTGGCACTGGATCTGCATCAAGCGACTGCCTGGTCGGGTGGCCCATCGCCGCTGCAAGCGGTGCCGACTGCCGGGCTGCTTCACTGTCAGGTCCACACGCGCAGCAGCCAGGCCACTCCGTTTGACCGACCTAGCCCTAGCCAATCACAGGAAGGCATGCAGTCTGAAAGTTACCCGAGTAGGCGAGGACTAAATGCATTGCGATCTGTCATGGCTATGTCTTTGACAGACTGGACCTCGGCGATGTGTCGGGGTCGCTGAGCGATGCTCGAAGTGCCACTTACTTAGTCTCAGAGATGTGGTGCTTGGAAGCATTTTGCGTAGACAATGTTCCCAGTGCTGCGATAACAAGTACTCGGCATGAATTTGTTGCGTTTCAACACCCACGCCAGCGTATGTAGCAAGCTGGAAGGCTATCAACTTGGACCAGGATCTGCTTTGGGATTGCATTTTGAGCGTTTGTTGCGCTGTCATGCGGTATCCTGGTTTGCTGCGTGCACGCTTTTCAAACCTGTGGAGGGGGATGTGGATGGTTGGTGCGCGAAGCTTAAATTTCGGAATGATTCTGAGTTTTGCCACAAACTGTCCACTGAAGCCCTTCAAGGCTCTTTGGGCGGAGCCCTGTTGGATAGCAAGGACATGGTTGCCGCTGCTGAAGCATCCAGCAAGGCTGCGATTCATAAGCTGGCAGCACGCATTCAGCTTTGTAGTACTGGTAGTAGTGCTACTAGGCGCTCGTGACGGGTGTTCTGCCTCCACTTGGCGATTGAGAAACTGTGGTTTCTTGCGAATTTCAACTAAATAAGTTCCTGTTTGGAACTAGGCTTTTGATAAACTCCTGGTTTTTGGGAGACGAGATCGTCTAGTCGGAGTGGTCCAAGGTGCCCCCCATCACTTCAAATTGCGCCCCATTAGTCCAACGGTTTGAAAAGTTTTTCGGGTCCCTACTTTGTGCTGAAGTTTAGATTGCAGGTTTAAAGCATGAGATTTCTGTTGATGATTTTGGGCCGCAAAGTCTCAAGTTTCAACTTCAGCCTCCTACTTTTTGCTTAGGATTTAATCAAGGTCTCAAGTTCTGGGTCTCAGCTTTTGCTTTTTGTCTGACGCCTTTGGGATCCTTTTTGCTGAGGACTTTCGCGTCCCCTAACTCAGAGCAAGCTCTGAACTGACCCAATCCTTAGGATTCGGGGTCTGACGTCGTAAGCAGAACAGCGCAAGCAGCAATGATGGACGCTCAAAGAACCCCCGCTGCACATGCCCTGATGCTTGCACCGGTATGTCAGCCTGCAGGCGATACAGCTGGACCCAAGCTGCGCAAGGGCTTGGTACGTTGCTTAGGCAGCTTGCTGTGTCAGACGGATTCTTCTGCGTGTAGCAGCACCGCTTGCAGTTATTGCTGAGAGTTGCGCTGCTGGTTGAAAATCATTCCCGTTGTGCTTTTGTCCATTGTTTTCAGTCTGTTGCTGGGAGCATCGTGGTGGCTTCAGAATCCGGGTGCCATAGTTGCAGGCCATGATTGCAAGAATTTGTCTGGTGTTTTGTTGCTTGGCATGGTTCAGGCGATTAACTTATAACGTAAAAACGCGGCGCCTCACGAGGAATGCTTGGGACATAAGCCAATACGCAAAAGTGGCCACCAGCAAAGAAATCTGTATTCGTGCCAGGCATCACCAGATACATTCCCATGCGACCCGGTTTGCCCAGGTTTAACAGAGGCTGTGCGAGGGCCGATCTTGAGGACCATGAAGCTGCAACACATCCGGTGCAGCGGAACTCTGCACCTCCAGTGCTATGTCTGTCTGTCATTAGGACTTCGACGGAGCAGGGCAAGATTTCGACGAAGTTGTGCGATTATGGCCGCCGCTTGTCGAGACACTTTAGGTGAATCTGTGTTCGTTGTCTGTGTTATAGCGCGATGATGCGCCATGAATTCCACCTGCAGGGAGAGCTTCATGGCATTCGCTCACCGCCAGAATCTGAGAGCACAAGCAGAGTTCCTGTCAAGCAAGAAGCTTCCTTCACGCAGCTCGGTGCAGAAAGGCGCCCACATCCGCCTGAAGCAGCGAGACCTGGAAGGCTTCACCTCAGTGCGGGTAGCTCCGAAAGACGCGAGTCTCTGCTACACCCACCGCATGTGCAGTGTTTGGAGGCGGGCTGCAGGACTGCGAACAGGCCGGTGTGCCAGGCATCCATCAAGCCAACCGCAGTTTGCTTTACGCAAGCAGGCTTTGAAGCTGGACAAGCGGCTGGTCAAAGCAATGTGCCTTGGATATCAGAGGCCAGCAAGCCCGAAAGCTTGTGGGGCCAACCCGCAGGTGCACTCAGGCTCAGATCAAGCGGATGACGGGGGATTTGAAAGGCCGGCTGACTCGCCTGACTCACCGTTTCCATGCACGTTTGGGTTGTTTGCCAATACGGGTTGGAATGTTCTCGAAAGCAGGAGCTGTTGCGGATGCTTCAAATGCACTGAAGTGCGCAAATGCTTTCCTTATCAGTACACAGCTGACAAGTTTCCACGCCAGCTGTGCTTATAGGTATGATTCCAATTGTGCTGCTGCATTCTCCATCCGCCCTTTGGTTGCATTGGGTCCGCTTCTGCGGGTAGAGCTCAGTGGAAAGATGGAGGTGGGCAGGCCTACTCCAAGATGGAGAAGCATGATAAGGCAGTTCAGGCTTGCAGCGACACTCAAACCCCGGCAGACCAGGCATACATGGCTACCCTGAAATACTGATTGCAGGACTGTCAGAGAGCCATTCAGCTGGATCCGCCAACTCTGGAGGTTTCGAACTTTGCTGCGCATTCATCCTGATGCAGCGTAGCTGACGCAATGCACAAGAGCAAGAAGACCACCAGCACATGGTTTTCAACCAGGGAAGCCTGCCGGTGATAACACTTGAAAGTGCTTCGTTGCAGGCACCTATGCTCGCATGGCGGCATGCCTGTGTCACAACCTTAGCACATGGCTTTTTGGGTCGCTCGGTGTGCCCTGGCAGTCTATGTTTGAATCATGTCATGGCTGATCTGATATGGTAAGACATGCAGGCCTCCGATCCAATTCCAACGCCCATTACGCTATGGGAGTGTCGCACCTAAAAGGAGTGGAGTCAGCTGGCAATTTCTGGATTATCAGTTATCCTGCATGGAGCAGTTTGAAACCGTTTGAGGTATGCAGCCCTTGAAGCTCGGCTGAAACAGGAAGCGAAGGCTGGAGTGTGGTGAAGTCTGGTGGAGTGTGGAGTGAGCGAACGCACGCAACGCACGCTCAAACTGACACTGGGAGAACCTCCATGCGATCAGGCGAAAGCAGCTGCAGAGGCTGCCCAAAAATGGGCAAACAAGGCAATCACTCTTACAATCTCTTAAAGGCCACCTATTAGCTCGAGCAAATGATTTCAGGCCAAAGCAGCAGCTGCCAAAAAAGCTCAAGAAGAAGCCATGCCACTTGTTTTTGTTCAGAGGGAGAAATTACCTACCTTGGGCGCCTCTTGAGCTGCATATGCGAAGCTCTTCACTGCTTGGCGAGAATCCTTGCCCAGGAGAGCAAGCATGAAGAAAAGTCGCCGCCCCCTCGGCTTCAATTGCCACAATGTCTGTTCTGAAAGTAAATTCCAAGATGCAGTGCGAATGAGCTTCTGAGAATTTGCCCAGGAAGACGCGCGTGAAGCTTCGCAGGCTTTGGTATCGGGTGGCAAGGTGTCACCCTGTCATGCAATCGCACAGCCGCAAAGCGGTCGGTGCGAATTTCATCTCTGAATGCAGAAAGCGAGTACAAACAGTTGGACATCAGGTCGTTCTCAACTACTTCCCGCGAGCTGATATGCGGGATTACAGGGGCTTTCACAGTGAGCATTCCAGGTAGAGAGATGGTATCTTTTTGTGGGTCAGTCAGACGCTCAGAAACCATTCGAGCTATAGTCTAAACTCCTTCAAGGCAGTGTAGGGGATGATAATCTAGGGGAGTATTATTGGGGATTATTGAGGAGGATGCTAGGCGTTTAGACTATAGCAGTGCCAACAATTTTTGGTAATCAATAAGCAAGTTTATCACATGCTCATGACATGCGAAGCTATATGCCCCTTGCGCTCCGGCACACTGTGGATGGTGAGCTTGCCTATTATGCCTCGCGAAGCGTAATTCATCTCTAAGAGTATCCGTGCACTGGAGCACCCATGCCCAGACATTCCCAGACCATAGCATGACCTTCATTGAGTGCGTGCAGTCACCACATCATGAATGTGTTATCTCCAAACCTGACGTTGCCTTGTCGTCCCATGGTCATAGAGCAGTGATAGAAGAAGCCTTCTGAACAAAAATTCCCCGACCAGGAAACCATGTCAGCGCACCTAACTTTATTTAGCAGCATTTCCTGTTCGCAACCCACTTGTCTGTCAAGATCGGTCTGGTGCGAGATCTAGGAAACACTGCACCTACGGCAGCAGTGGCAAAGGGAAGAGGTCAGCAGCAGGCACGCAACCATTTGATTGGTTGCCTCTCCCAGGCAAGCCAATAGTTTTTGGCAGGTGTTGGTTCTGGGAGCAACGTAGCAGAAAGAGGTCACTAGTCACCGTTTCGATTGTGAGCAGAGAAGTGCGGTAATCAGAGGCTTCAACTAGCATCTTAAAATGAGCCGACCCTTTCAGGAGAATCTTATAGCATCTCTCATCATGCAAGAGATGAATCAGGGCCCCAAGATACAGCCAGAACAATCTCGGACCTCTCCAAGCTTGCGACTCCATTGCCATGGCATCACCGCGCGGGGTGGAGATCGGGTTGCCGTCAGGAGTAGAGATCATGCTGCCGTGCTGTGAGCCGGAACCAATCGAGGACCGCACAATTTTTTAAACCCCAGCCATAGGGATTCTGCAGGGAGTTTTCCCAATAATGCAGCATCAAATGGGATAGAAAATGGGACATGAAATTGAAGCGGGCGTTATAAAGTGTAGTAGAAAGGGTCAGGTCCGCTTTCTCCTATAAGCAGCCATGACATTTGTTGGTTATACACCAACGCGGAACTGTTCAGACGACATCGGTGGAAGAAGGGTCGGCGCCAGGGAACTCAATGCAGATCTCAGGCACGCTCAACAAATCTGTGACATCTTGTGACCGTTGCCACTGCAAAAAGTGTTTTTTGCATGGACAGTCTCTGGCTGACTGTCGTCCGATGGGGTCTAAATGATGTTGGACTATAGGCAACACCTGCGCACAGATGCAATCCTTATTTTGTTGTCAGTGAGGCTTGTGAGAGCCTTGGTCTCATGACTTGGAGGATTGGACGCTTCTAGCTAGGAGTTGTCCGGTTCAGTCTGCCTCATTGATTGCGTGAGGATTGGAGACTAAGCAGGTCACAGGTTCAGAGGAAGATTTACGGAGCCAACCGGCGCCGCTTGGAGCCTAGTAGCCCCAACTAGCACGATCTGGCAGCCAGCCGGCGCCAGCTAGCATTCACTAGCTTGTAGGGCCATTTTATGTGTGGGTCCCGTTTTGACCTTTGCTGGGGCCCTTCGTGAACTCCTGATTAGGATGCTAAGATGCAGCAGTGATGCAGCTGAGAGGCATGGCTCTCTCAGCCACGCAGTTTCTCGTGGACAAGATTTCCCGCTTCGAGGAGACAACACCCAGTAAAGATTCAAGACATCTCGCAATTTGAATTCTTACGTGGCGTGATGATAACACGAATACAGTAGTAGTCGAGGTGGTGCTGCTGGTCCTGCCTTTGCTGGTGATGGTGGTGGCAGTGGCGGTGGCGGTGGCGGTGCGGCGTTGGTGGCAGCAGTGGCGGTAGCGGGGGGCGGGGGGTGGTGGGGGCAGAGGCAGGGGAGGTGAATTGATTTGGGATTGGGTCTAGGGTTCAGATCAAAAAAAGACGTTGAGGGACTTTTCAGAGATTGGGTTGCATCATCCAGGATCCTTACCTGCCGGAGGCCTTTTCTGGCCAACGACAGTCAACTCTGAGGCACAATTAGACAGTTTTGCCATAAGGGAGCCCTTTGCTTCCAGATAGCGCTCCCCAGGTCGATGGTAAATCTCCAAGCCCCTACGGGACCTAACCCCCAACCACGGTCAGTCAGGTAGCAACCTGTCGCACTGCCAATATCGCCCAAACACGTTGCCCCAACGAGTTGTTTTTGATGTAATCAACACTGCATAACGCAGCAACTCCATTTTGGGGAAGATCTGCGCGTACGCCGTCTAACATTCAACCCTCAGAAGCCTGTCCTCGTGAAGGCACAGAAGTAGCACGAACCTTGCGCTGGTAGCCGTTGTGTAACTTCATCAGCAACAGCGCAGCAGTGGCATCATCTTCGTCGGCTTCACACATGTAATCGCAGCACTCGAAGAATTACTCATGGCAGCAAACTCAAGAGGCTGAAGCGTGAGCTGGAATGCTTGGGATAATCCTTTGCAGGAGACGGCGCCTGGCATCTTGAGAGCGACGCCGTGTCATCAGGCCTTGAATTATTTCCTTTGGCGCGAAGCAGTGCCGAACAAGCGGCAACAGGCATTCACTACACGGAAGCTGGACAATCATTGGGTCAGTTTGAAAGCAATGCTGACTAATTAGCCCGCTGCAGTTGAAGAACTCCAGTTGAAACAGCAACTTCAGTCATGGTCCCTGCCTGACCTAGGAAGATACAAGAGTTTTGGTCCCACTCCTGGCACGGAGCAGTTTGGAGGAAGGTTTGCACCATGTGCCTCAGACCGTGTTCAAAAGATGTTGATTTTCGTTTTAGTTGTGTCGGGAATCAGCTAACATAAGAAAAGAAGCCCCTGTGGTAATAGTTATGATGGTGCGTGCTCAAAAATGGACCAATGGCAGTGATAATTGGATATCTTGTGTCAGTGCTGATGGCTGTGCTCTTCGGGATGGGCATGCTACCGAGCTATGAGCGTGCTCCAATGCTGCGGACAAGGGCTGAAGCTTACATGTTCGCACCATGGTCGGTCTGTATGGGAGCAGCAATGACTGCTGTGGCATTTTTTGCCCGGCGCCGGCAGACTTCAGTGTTTCTTGACATTTTGTGCATCGACCAGGAAGATGTGATATTGAAGACACAAGCACTCCTCAGCATGGGGGCCTTCCTGAAGAAGTCCGCATCCCTCCACGTCTTCTGGGATGAAACTTGGGTCAGGTATCTTGGCAGTCATTTCCAGCAGTTCTAGCAGGTAGCAACCAGGAGCAGTCCGCTCAGGCCATAGACTAGTCTTTGGGTGGTTGTTGGCCTCATGCGTGAGTCCCGTAAACGACCAGGCGTCTCTGGTGCGTCTTCAAGCTAGCGGCATTCCAGAAATCCCACAGCAAGGCGGAGATCAGCAAGAACCTGATCATCAGGCCTACTCTCCTAGGACCGTGCTCCTTAGCTGTCTTTCTCGGCTCGCTTGCCATGTCAATCGGTTTCCTATGCATCCCTTTCGATGATTTTTTGGCCGGATATGCTTTTTTGCCCTTCTTGGTTTCAGCGGGTCGCACTTGGCCCTCAAATCCTTCCGCCGCTACTTTGCATTCCTGGACACTACACTTGGGCAGCTCCGAGACTTTAGTTTGGACTCTGCCTTATCGCACTGCTGTGAAACAGGCCACATATCTCAAAATGGAGGGAGCTTTGTTTGCGACCGTGAGATCATCAAGCTCTGCGTCCACCGGTCCGCCGATGGTTTGGCTCGGTGGAAGATTTTGAGGATTCTGTTAAGTCTGATGTCTCTGCAGCTCTCTCGAACCAGCTTGGAAACAGCTCCTTTTCGTACCTTTGGGTGCTCCTCACCACTAGCCCGATGCAATGGGTAATGATGGATCAACTTGACCTTTGCGATGGCCATCTTTCCATCAGTCTGCCGATTTGCCATGCTCCTTGCGTCTCGAGCACGGTATCCTTGCAAGAGTTGTGTGGCGGATGAGCTGAAGACCTTTGCAGTATTCGCGGTCTGTGTTCCATTCACAATGGTCCCTACCCTGATGCCGCTTGGCACCCAGCAATGGCTTCACTTCAAACGTGCGCACTGGCACGCCCCTGACCTCGGGGGCCGGCAACGGAGTAATTATCATGGGGTGACTGTTATGAGATCAGAAGCCCCCGTAGCCATGTAGCAGTGGGGTGGTGATGGCGCTGGGAAGAACGAGGCAGATTTGAGAACTTGCTTCGCTGTTGTTGTACCTTTGACTCAGCCAAGGCACGTTGTGCTCACCTCGGTCTTAGATCCAGTCGCAGGCGCGAGATGCGTGGCAATGCTACTGCTAGTGACCTTTGACGGAACTTTCGGGACAGACCTGGTTGCAATGACATGAACAGGTGGCCAGCGAATAGGTCTGGGGGGCATGTCCTTCGGATCTAGATCCTAAGCAGCATAGTTCTTCGAGAGCATTTGCAAGCAGGAGGGAGCTTCATCTTTCCAGTTGTAGAGTTCTTGCGCAAGCGCACTGGTCATCGGTTGGCCTGTTGGCCACTGGCCCAATGCCCTCAAAGAAGGCAAGAAGAAAGAACGGGTTAAGATACAATGCAGTACGAACACGTTGAGAAAGAAAGCAGTTATTAGCAAAATAAACGAAGGATAAGATAAACAGGGACCACAAGAAAGAGATCAAGAAGTGAACAGCCAAACAGCTACACAAAGAACGAAGTTGCGAAGGAACACGCCATGAAGCAAAGAAAACGGCAGCAGACTTGC